TATATATATATATATATTATATATTATATTTATATATATATTATATATATATATATATATATACTGATACACTACCATATATTTTAGCCCTCTCACTCTATTTGTAATCTCTTTCATAATCCCTGTAAACACTGCAAATTATAATGAATTGTTTCTCGGCTTCCTCCGCCCGTGGTTTTTTTCCCGATTTGGGTTTCCACGTAAATTCCTGTGTCTCTATTCTATTTATTTTATTCGTATTTCGTTTTGATTATTACGCTTTGATAATTTTTGATCCCATTCCGCATTGAGCTAATATTATTTAAGTCTATTCGGATCCTTCGTATTTCACAACAATTGGTATCAGAGCATCCGGGTTGTAATATTAGCTCATTGGGATCATTTTATCAAGTAATTAATCATGTCTTCGGTAAAATACGATATTCCACTACTGGATCGTAACACACGATTTCCGTTGTGGCAAGTAAAGATGAGAGACATTCTCATTCAGATGGATTTACACAAGGCGCTTTTGGGTTTCAATAAGATGCCCGATACATGGACCGAAGAAGAAAGGAGATGAAAGATCTGAAGGCTTTATCCCAGATTCGTTTGCACTTGTCAAACGATGTTTTGCAAAGTTTCTAAAAGAAACGTCAGCGGCTTCTTTATGGCTAAAGTTGGAGCAACTGTTGATGACCAAGAGCTTACCAAACAAGTTGCATTTGAAGCAACGGTTGTTCAATCTCAAAATGATTGAAGGAGGCTCTTTAACTGAATATATATCCACATTTAAAGAGGTAGTAAATAACTTAGAGAATATGGATGTTCAGTATGAAGATGAAGACTTGGCTTTATTCTTACTGTCGTCGTTGCCAGAATCCTATAGCCATTTTCGTGATACTATTATCTATAGCCGTGACACTTTAGTTTTAGATGAAGTCTATACAGCTTTGGATTCCAAAGAGAAGATGAAGCATATTACTGGTGGTGGTTCAAGTGATGCTAAAGCCGAAGGTTTGAATGCCATAGGAAGAACAACAGAGAGAAGTAGAACTTCTCAATCTTCCAACAGAACCAGATCCAAATCAAAAGGCAAACGAAAGTTTTGCAACTATTGTCACAAGAAGGGACATGTGCTTGAAGAATGCTTCAAGTTGAAGAATAAAGAAAAAGAGAAGACGGCAGCAAATGGTAAACAAGCTAACACTTCGGGTGAAGCCGATGTAGCTGAGGTGGAAGGTATTGGAGAACTTTTGACAGTTTATTCAGATAAACTGGATTCCACTGGTGATTGGATACTCGACTCTGGTTGTACTTTTCATATGTGTCACAACAAAAGTTGGTTTTTACACATTTGAAAAGGTTAACCAGGGCTATGTGTTGATGGGTAACAATACTACATGTCCAGTTCTTGGACATGGTTCAGTCAGGATCCGTATGTTTGACGGAGTTATTCGAACCATGGGGGATGTTAGATATGTTCCTGACCTCAGAAGAAACTTGTTATCTCTCAGTTCCTTTGACAAAAGGGATACGAGTTTGCTGGTAAAGGTGGAGTTCTCAGGGTATTCAAAGACGGCTCCGACAAACTGAGAGCCAAACGAAAAAACCTCAGATCTTTACTTTCTTGACGGGCAAACAATTTCGAGTGATGCTGCTGTTGTTTCAAAGTCTCTTTCTGATCCAGATCAGTCCCGTCTTTGGCACCTTCGACTCGGCCATATGAGTTTTCAAGGCATGTCAGAATTGAGTCGAAGAGGTTTACTTGGTCAACAAAAGATTGTTGATTTGGATTTCTGTGAAGACTGTGTATATGGCAAGGCAAAACGAGTGAGGTTTGCAAGTGGCATCCATACAACGAAAGGACCACTTGATGATGTTCACTCGGATTTGTGGGGACCGGCTCGAGTTGCTTCAAAAGGTGGAGCTATTTATATGCTCACTATTATTGATGATTTCTCCAGGAAGGTGTGGTCTTTCTTCTTAAAACATAAAGGAGACGTTTTCTATACCTTCAGAAATTGGAAATTCAGGTTGAAAAGCAATCAGGTCTGGTGGTAAAGTATCTTCGTACGGATAATGGACTTGAGTTTTGCTCAGAAGAGTTTAATGTCTATTGTCAAAAGGAAGGCATTACTCGACATCGCACAGTAGTCCATTCACCTCAACAAAATGGTGTAGCTGAAAGGATGAATCGCACCATTATGGAGAAGGTCCGGTGTATGCTTTCTAATTCCAAATTGCCAAAGTCTTTTTGGGCGGAGGCTGCTTCGACTGCTTGCTATGTTATCAACCGATCACCGTCACGAGCAATCGAGAAGAAAACTCTGTTTGAGTTATGGTCCGGTAAACCTGCCAATTATTTAGATTTAAAACCATTCGGATGTCCAGCGTATGCACGAGTTGACAATGGGAAGCTAGAACCAAGAGCAATCAAATGCGTTTTTCTTGGGTACAATCAAGGTGTAAAGGGTTACAAGTTATGGAGCTTTGATTTGAAGAAAATTATCATCTCAAGAGATGTTACTTTTGATGAGTCTGCTATGATTCAACCAGTTGCTGACTCTTCTAAAAGAACAGATGCATCAGATGTATCATCCGAAGCAAATAAAGAGTATGCTCAAATGGAGGTGGAGCTTCCTACTTCACCTACCACTAATCAGAGTACAAATCAGCATCAAGATTCTTCTTCGTCGGATGAGCATGTTGTTGGTGAAGATTCAACACCTTCACAACCACAAGCTACTACTCCAAGCATTGCAAGAGATAGACCGAGAAGACAGATTATTCCTCCGAAGAGGTATGCTGAATCTGATTTGGTTGCCTATGCTTTTATTGTTGCTGATAATATTGAGTACGCAACGGAGCCTGCGAATTATGACGAGGCTATCAAATCTGAAGACTCAAATGATTGGATGCTCGCTATGCAAAATGAGATGGAATCCTTGCAGCGAAACAGTACTTGGAATTTAGTTCCTATTCCGAAAAGGAAGAGACCAGTTAAATGCAAGTGGGTCTATAAGCTCAAGGAACCTGTCAACCCAAATGATAAACCAAGATACAAAGCTCGGTTAGTAGCTAAAGGCTACAGTCAGATTCCTGGTATTGATTACACTGACATTTATTCCCCAGTTGTCAAACATACTTCCATTCGTGTATTGTTGGGGTTGGTTGCTTCTAACGATTTTGAGTTAGAACAACTTGATGTCACTACAGCTTTCCTAAATGGTGAGCTTGAGGAAGAGATTTTTATGCAACAACCTGAAGGTTTTGTAGTTCCTGGAAAGGAGAACTACGTATGCAAGTTGAACAAATCTCTTTATGGCCTCAAGCAGTCTCCTAGACAATGGTACAAGAGGTTCGATTCTTTCATGACCAGTCACAAATTCAGCAGGTGCACCTATGATAGCTGCGTTTATTTCAAGAAAGGTGACAATGGTTCAAAGATCTACTTACTCTTGTACGTGGATGACATGTTGATTGCAGCAAAAGATATGAAGGAGATTCAGAAGTTAAAAGACCAGTTGAAAGCTGAATTTGAAATGAAGGACTTAGGAGCTGCCAAAAAGATTTTAGGTATGGAAATTATTCGTGACAGGAAGTCTAGGATCTTGCATCTTTCTCAGAAAAGTTATATTGAGAAAGTCCTAAGACGCTTCAATATGCACGAAGCAAAGTCTGTCAACACACCTTTTGCAGCTCATTTCAAGCTATCATCCGCTTTGAGTCCTACTAATGAGACTGATATGGCTTACATGGCACGTGTTCCATACTCTAGTGTTGTTGGATCTTTAATGTATGTTATGATCTGCACACGCCCTGATTTGGCTTATGCTGTTAGCATGGTTAGTAGATACATGGCGAACCCGGGGAAAGAACACTGGAAAGCAGTACAGTGGATTTTTCGTTATTTACGAGGGTATGTGTTTACACTAAATGGTTGTGCTGTTAGTTGGAAAGCCCAGTTACAGTCTACAGTTGCCCTGTCTTCTACCGAGGCAGAGTACATGGCGATTACAGAAGCAGTTAAGGAAGATATCTGGTTGAAGGGGTTATTCGGAGAACTCGATGATAGAATAAAGGTGACCACAGTTTTCTGTGACAACCAGAGTGCTATCTTCTTGAGTAAAGATCAAATGTTTCATGACCGAACAAAGCATATTGATATTCGTTATCATTTTGTGCGGGATATCATTGAAAAAGGTGATTGTGTGTGGACAAGATTCATACAGATTATAATCCCGCTGATATGTTCACTAAAAGTCTTCCTATAGCCAAGTTCAAATTATGTTTGGACATGGTGGGTGTTTCTGATCGCAGTTGAGCCTGAAGGCTCGTGGTGGAGGAAGTATTATTTATTTTTTCGGAAACAATTTTTCTCTATACAAAATTGCAGTTTTTTATGGAAGTTTTAGAGTTTGATGAGCTAAAGGTTTTGACTAATCGTAAAGCATGACTTGCTTAATTTTGATGTCAAGGTGGAGATTGTGGAAAAGTTGCCTCCAAAATTAGCAAGTGGCAAATAGTTCAGGGGTTATTTCCGTAACTTATCATTACTATTCATAGTTTGACTATGAATAGTAATCTAATATGAAATTGAAAATGAAATTGGACGGAATGGAGGCGCAGACATTATTATATGTGTATCGTAATATGCAATATGAATTTGAAGATTGTAGGCGCAGCAATTTTGTCTTGGGACGCATTTTTGTTTTCTTCTTTCATTTGTATTCTCCTCTTGGCTATAAATAGCCATAGAGATTTAACCCACGAATGACCCAACAATCAATATATATATATATATATATATATATATATATAATATATATATATATATATATATATATATATATATATATATATATATATATATATATATATACTGATACACCACCATATATTTTAGCCCTCTCATTCTATTTGTAATCTCTTTCATAATCCCTGTAAACACTGCAAATTATAGTGAATTGTTTCTCGGCTTCCTCCGCCCGTGGTTTTTTTCCCGATTTGGGTTTCCACGTAAATTCATGTGTCTCTATTCTATTTATTTTATTCGTATTTCGTTGTGATTATTACGCTTTGATAATTTTTGATCCCATTCCGCATTGAGCTAATATTATTTAAGTCTATTCGGATCATTCGTATTTCACAACAGTCATAAGAGAAGATAACAGCTCATCAGTTGACTGATGCCACAGGCTCTCTTGGTTATAGCCTTGAAACCCTTCAATGCTTTGTGATTCCTCTTTCATGGTTGATTTTGGCAATGGGTCAAATATTGCATCTGACAATTGATTCCTGAAAAGTGTAACATTAGTTTAATATAATAATTTTCATTTAAAATTTGAACTATTGTTGTGAAAACTAATTTATCCTACATACTACGTAGTACAATGATCGAACCTATTTGGGTGGGTTTGTCCATTCATTCGATTTGTACCATCACAAACATTTCCAGGCCAACAATTGAGATCCTCGTTTTTCGATGAACTTTCTCCCTGTTGCATCTCAATTATCAGTCAAATTTTTTAAACAACAAGATTAAAATATCAGTCATATATGTGCAACTTTTTATGTGGGGATACATAAACAAGCATCATATGATGAAATGGTAAAGTACGATTGGTCTTTTTATATATCATTCTTACATAACTTGCAATGATAGTGTTCTACTTGTTTACCTATTCACAAAACAATGGCAAATTGCAATGAAAGACATACAATGGTTTAAAAAGCTATTTTTCAGTTTTATTCGACTGTTACCTGTAATACGCTTGAATGGTATGCGGGTGGCTGGTTACTTAACAAATATTCCTGTAATAGAACAAAATTCAAATGAGACTCTTACTTTTTATCTGTTTTCTGATCTGAAGTACTGTGATAGTGAACATCTATTAAGAGCAGCAAGACTACCTTGCGTTGTGTAACTGGGCCCAACGTCTTATAAAGTAACTTCTCATACGATTCATAATCATAAAGTGATGTAAAGGTCATTGGATCTGGCTCAAATATCCTTTGATTGAATCATAATCCAAAGTAGAGTCAGTAAATCGACATTTTACTACTATGCTTGTGGAATCTTTATCCCCAAAACCAAGTCTTTTGTAGACGGTTCTTTCTACATATGTATTGTGTTTTTGGGTAATAATATCCACAAACATTTTTCATATACATAGACAAAAGAACACAGAATTGAACCTTAATTGTTCCTTAGCCATATGAATTTGATGATGTAAGGTGCTAATTTCTTGATGGATTTCCTATCACACATAGAGTTTAAAAAAAAAAAAAAAAAAAAAAAAAAAAAAAAAACTGCAATGAGTTTATATATTTTAATATGGGGTTTGAGTTGTTTTTTTTAATAAACAAATGTCATATTGGTACCTCGGATTGCACATCGATCGCTCCGGGACTGTTCAAAACAAAAAAGTTAGCAATTAAAGGGTTTTTATATTCGAATGTTTGTATCATACAACTTTCAATAAGTTAAAATCTAGAGTCGTCAAGATACATAAAATAGTATATAGATGACATTAAAAAGTTATTTCCTGGAAAAAAGTAAGACCCAAGAAAACGAGACGAGTGAGAGAGAGAGAGAGAGAGAGAGAGAGAGAGAGAGAGAGAGACAACCAAGGAATATGGATGGCCAAATCATTTTCACTCCTGATCTTGCTTAGGAGGTTGTTCAAATACTGCAATTTTCATTAGATTCAAAACTGTAAATACAAAAAAAGAGATTAATCATTTGGCTTTTGTAAATTGAATAAAAGATAGTAATCATTTCATAGAGTCTATTAATTTGGTCATTTATCTCAGTTGAATTTTGTTCAGGTTAAAACATGCTATAAGACAACCAAATAAATAAAGAGATGAATGTCATTGTGCACTTGCTCATGCAATTTCAAAGAAACGACATCATGTTTTCCCAATTTTCTTTAGGCACCAATTCAATAAACTTGTTAATATTATAGGGTCTTCTAGCAACTATATATTGTCTTCAACCTCGTACGTAAATTCAATAACACAATGACAAAAAGGTGATTATACCACATGCATCATAGTGTAAAATTGCATGGGTGACTTAGAAACATACCTCTCTATGTTGAATCACACTGCAACCAAACAAGAAACCAATATTTTCATGCATCACACGATGAATTCAGAGGAAGTAATGAAATCTAGAGAGAGCGAGGGAGAAATATTGTATATAAGCACCTTCCTCTATCAGAGTCCGAGAGATTTACGAATCGATTAAGCACATCTTCTGTTCTGTAAAACAAAATTGTGCGTTACAAATTCATTTTTTCAAAGTCCAAGAAAACCATATTGGAAATGGAGAATCTGTGTTGAAATCAATATCCAGAAACATAAAGAACAAGATTAGGGTTATGGGATTGGACCTTCGTTTACAGGAAAAGTGGTTAAGGCGACCTGATGGAGAAAACATGATGAGAGCGATGTCGATATCACATAAAACCGATAGTTCATAAGCCTTCTTAATGAGTCCATTTCTACGTTTGCAAAATGTGACCAATCTGCTTGTGTTGTTCTCGATTCTTTTCATTGGAAGCTTATTTCGACCCATTTGTTATTATATACACGCCCCTTTCTCTTTCTATTTCAAGAAAGATATAACAATAGAAAGTAGTTTCTTTCTAAAAACAGAAATTAGTTTGTATTTGTTCTCTTAAAAATTCCAGTTTTCGAAAGATGAAGAAGACGATGAAGTCACGAAGGGAGGAGGAGGAGAGAGAGAGAGGGAAAGAAAAGGAATGAAGAAAATGTGCCAAAATATTAGTGGAGGGAAGAGGTCATACCTCTCCTTTTGTTCAGGTTAGGTGTAAATGAATCTCAAATTTTTAACGGTGTTATATTATGTGGAATTGTTTGTTCATTTTGACATATTTTGATAAAATATATGAAACATAAAAAACTTATGCATGTTAGCATTAGTAAAAGAAACTATGCTAACATGTGCCGGAAAGAATAGAGAATTAATGGTGACATACTCTAACCAGCACCGGCTAAGATTCCATTGGAAAGATAATCATAGATTACAAGCTTCTCAACTTCTCCCCAGTAAAACCTACGTATCTTCACTACATTCCGATGCCGGAACTTACCAATATTTACCCTCATTATCTTCTCAGACTCCCTCGTCTTCTCCACTGGGCTCTCTCCAATCCTCCGAACCGCAAAGGCCATTTCTCCTACACCACCACCGTCCACGACCGCCGTGTACATAATGCTCCCACGGCTTGAATCCAATATATACGCCGACGCCTTCAACAACGTCTCCATGTCCAACTCTGTCTCCCCATTCACCATAACCAAATTAACATCTCTTTTTCTCTTCGTTGTTCATGTGATTATTATTACGATTATTTCTGTTCTCATGGTCACCTTAGGGTTCGGATTCAGTTGTCGTTTCCGATGTTCGTCTCTGATTATGCAATGCAAGCAGGAGCAAGAAGTTGACACGTTACCTTTGGGTTCTATGACTTTGTCAACATTGATTCCTTTCGTGTTTTGATTCGTTTTCGTTTTCCGAAAACGGTATGCGACTATGCGTATAAGAAAAGAACGGCGAGAAGCACCATAGCAGCTACATCTCCGACAACAATGGCTATAATTTTTCCTGGCACTTTCAGGCCGCCGTGAGTATTCGACTGTCTGGCTGTTTTGGGAATGGCTGCGGTGGCGGTGGCGGAACCGTCTGATGAAACATTTGTCGGGATTGAATGTGATGACGGAACTGTGCACATTTTCTTGAGCGGTTCCCACACAAATCCAGGTTTCCGGCGAAGTGCTCTTCTTTCTGATTGTATAAAGGCAACATTTTTGGGATTTGACCCGTTAGAGTGTTGAACGAGAGATAAACGACAGCTTTGTTTTTTGTGTTACTGTTGAAAGATTCATGTTTTACTTATACTTGCAAAATACATTTATGTTGTTTTCTGCTTATACGTGTTTTACTAGATCAAACAGTCATAGACATGTATTTCATATAAACAATTATAATTTTTTTTTTTTTTTTGTTTTTTTACAAACCAGCGAAACTAAAAATATATTACTGTTTGAAAAGATCAATACATTTAAAGAAAGTAATTTTAAGTTGTGTTGGCATCAATGGGAAAAGGTGTCAGTTTAATCTGGAAACATTCACTTTTTTCAAAGGTATTCTCTTTTTAATTTTACGAAGTTGCAGCATTTTTTTCCCATATTTGGAATAGCCTTAAACTAGTTGATTAAAATTCTTTCACATATGGGGTCTTTTCGGCATTTTGTATTCCGGACTTCTTTGTTGCACATTATCCTAGTATACTTGCATATGGGGTTCTATGTATCTCTTCAACAAAGGTGCTTGATTGTATTTGACAATTTTGGAACTTTGTTTCGTTATATAAGGGATAAGATACAATAAAGAATCTCTCTGATATTTAAACTATGAGACAAGGGATCTATAAATTCTTTATGCCCTTTTTTTTTTTTGACAAGAAGGTTACTTGTTCAAGTCATGGAACAATGTCTTTGCAAAATGTAATGAAATACGATAGACAAAGACTCTCTTTTGTAGCAATTGCATTCAATTTTTATATTTCTAGCTAAGCTTATTTATTTAATACTAGAAGTTCTCAGCATATCTAGCTAATCTTATTTAAGTAGAGGTCTTTACAAATTGCAAAGGCTGTAATATTTCCTGTTTATATAATATTTTTGATAAATTTATAAACATTTTATAAGTGGATAGTAATTTATTAACTGTATCTTATTGTAGTTTTTAGTGAAAATTTGAAAAGTACTAGAAGCTAGAAGAGAGTTATTGTTGGACCTGGTTGAACTTGTAAGCTCTATATTGATGCTGGAACAGATGGAAGCTTTCTTAGCTTTGTATTGATTGATTTTTTGTTCACTACGGAATTAACCATTTACTTTGAGTTAGTTAATGTTTATGTGAATGAAGTCATGAACACTAAACAATTAAATATAGATGTTGGAAGTTTGGACTACAAATTAATTGAATATTTGGGCGATTGTTTTTATTTAGTTATGAATTCAAGTAGTTTCTCAGTAAAGTCTAAACTCCTTCCTTATCTCGGATGTCAAAAACCCGATTGTTGAAAATCGGGTCATATGACTCTTTCACAATTGCGTCCCATAGTCATATAACACGGTTATGTTTGAAAACCCGGGTCATATTGCCCATTCCTTTATAAGAGCCGGTTCTCTACTTAATATAGCATTTTTTTTCAAAAACCGGGTCTTATGCATTGGGTTCTATTTGCGTTTCCGTAGTAGCGGTTACCTCTTCTATGTTTTGTTTTCTGATTTTTATTCTCGATACTTGCTTTCTATGCTTGTATTATAATTTATAAATTGTATTGTACCGCTCATATTGACTTACTTTGTTTGTTTGTCTCATTTATACCGTATGTTACCCTTATAACGTATTCCACAACTTGTGGGTGCTCATGTGACCTTGCAACCCCGACGGAACACCACACCGCTTAGGGCCGCCTTGCGATTTCGAGACCCCGTTGTGACAATAGCACCAATGGTCTTCTCTCAATTCCCCATTATTTTTAATCATTGACTTTTAAATTAAATGAAATTTATTTTTGTTAACATCCTATAAATACCTACTTAATCTCCAATATTTTTACATAGCCAATTTCTCTCGATTGATAAAAAAAATTATATAAATTTGAGAAGTGAAAGATTGTAATCGTTCTCTTCATCATCTTTATCGACCATTCGTCGATGGATCGTGACACAATTTTTTCCACAAACATCGTAGGAGTATTAACCTTTATTTTTGCTTATGAAGCTGAAAGTTCATGTCCAACAAGGAGAATAGTTGTTTTAGACATAGATCATGAAGTTGTACAAATTGTCTCGAATGAGACTATTTTTCTAAAATGTCATATATGATACTTATATGTTTAGACAACTAGTCTTGATGAGCACACAACTATTTTTACGACACTTCAAGATTTTGAGAGAGTTTCTACTTACTAGATTAGCATGGATGTGAGAGGTAAAAGGGTTTTACTCTATTACAAAAGTGCACATCCATACTTCGTTAAATAGTATATAGCAATGTTGCCGATTCTTGGGATGAGTATTTAAAGAAGTTGAGAAAACTTCACGTGAAAATACTTATAAGTTTTTTGAATGTGTGAGTGGCCTTTACGAAAAACAATATTTGTGTAAACTTACATGGAATGACATTCAACAATTGTATGAGGCTCATGAAACCAAAAATGGTTTTCTTAGAATGTTTGGAACCCATTGATTGTATGCATTAGGATGGACAAATTGCACTAATGCATAGCAGGGGCGGAACGCTTTGGAGGCCAGGGGAGGCCATGGCCCCCCTGCTTTTTAATCTGCTAATATATGTTTGTAAACATGTTTATTTCTTTAAACTACTTAGATATTAAATTAAAAGAAAAAGACGTGTTTAGAGGAACCAAGAAGGAATCAGATCACCACAAAAAATCTATAATTTTTCAGAAAAACTGAAATTCCTAACTTTAAGGAAACTGATCTACCAAATATATATTTCACTATATTTAGCTTCCTAATTTGAAGGAAAACTGATCCACGAAGAATATAAATTAAAATTTTCAACCATATAATATCATCGAGGAAGAAAAGAATTAAAAGTTCTCCAAAATTATTCTGAAAACCTTGCCCTTAACCACCATTGCCGACACCTGTTTTTTCGTCTTCTTTGCCACTGTGATTTTCTTCTCTAGCTTCATCGTCTTCTTCAGTCCATGAACGCCCCCAGCACTCGGGCTCTTAGTTTCTCCGATCGCTTGAGGTTTCTCCTCTGTAAGTCCATTTCAGACTACAAATTTGTTTTTTTATATGGTATTATAAATAAGAGTACACAATAAGTCAGTCTTTAGGTCTCTATGCTTATTGTTCTTCTATTAAAGAGATTACAGTACACTATGTTCCAGACTATAATACTAGCTTTTGACTTTCAAGCCTATATTAAATATTTAAATGGTTATATACTATATTTCGTAGTTATTTATATTAGGAAGTAGTTTTTTTTCCTAGATATCTTAATGCATAATTTGTTATTAAGAAATTATTTTTTTTTTTTAAGTTTTTGCCTAGATACCTTAATGCTCCTCTATGCTAAAATTTTAACAGTGATATGTCTTTCATTGTTTGTTTTATTTTTTTTATTTCTACTTGCTTTCTTGTTTAAGTTGTATAATTAGGGTTTGAGAAGCCATATAGATTTGTTAATAAAATTATACTTTGGATAAGTAAAAAAATAATTATACGTTATTTTCAAAAAAAAAATGTACCTAATTGCTCATTGTTAGTTAATTTAAACTTCATAACATTATTTATAATTGCAAGAAAATGATTCATAAACAAAAAGTACAAGGGCTTTTGATATATCAAATTTTAGTTTCAGTTTCGGCCCCTCCAATGATAGTGCTCGAGTTCCGCCCCTGATGCATAACGTGGTCGATACATACGAGGTGATCTTCACACCCAAATACAGTTCTAGAAGTAGTGATGTCATATGGTTTACGAATTTGGCATGGTGTTTCCTGTTCCAAAACATCAATGTTCTTGATCAGTCACTAATGTTCAACGACATCTTAAATGAAATGGCACACGAGTGTCTGTTTGAAGCTAATGG